AAGAATTCGCCCTATCTAGATAGTCAATTGATCGTTATTTATTATGTATATATATAGAGGGAATAAATTGTCATAAGGTTTTAAGGATCCGCACATCAAAAAGATCAAATGACCTAACTAGGTTTATAAAATATATGAACTACTTCTATCATGATCAATTGGTTTTCAGATGAACCTTATGAATATTGATGGAAGGTAAGAACTTTTTTTTCTTCTTCCTTCTGAGCTTATCGATTCCAACTATTCTTGAAAGAAGTGTTGGGTTTGTAAGGAGTGGAAACAAAGTCCCACATTGGTTAGGGAAATAGGTGATCTATAGTATATAAGAAAATACTATTATCTTCATTGGTATGAGGCCTTCTGGGTGAAACTAAAAGCAAAGCCATAAGGGTTATGCCCAGAGCAGACAATATCATACCATTGTAGAGATGTTTTGAATGGTTTTGTTTGTGAATTGAATGTTATGTGAAAATATATTCTTTTTCAATATAAAAAGGTACCATAATCGTCTGTCGTCACTGCCTATACTAACAAGGTACATCTTCCATCTTCCTTTTTCGGTAGCTCAATCATAAGAACTCCAAAACATGCTAGAAAGACTCGTATTGGTTGATATTATTTTTTTATATATATAAAACTTTCTATGTGATCCAAATAAAGCTTTTTAATTTTATTTTATAAAGTTATATTATGAGATTGTATTTTTGTTTTGTTTATTATTAGTGTTGACGATAAATTTTGGTAGAGGCTCACGTGGTGTCTGAACGAGCTGTCCGGCACAATTTCCGCTGAACCCGAAATCAAAAAACTCGACGTCGATGCGGTGTCCTGCCTAATACACTCTGACGATCAAGTTAGTAATCGGAATAGAAATAGGAATCAGACACCAGAGGTATTAGTGATAGGTTTTTCACTTACTGCTGATCATCCTCCCTTTTATAGCCTCGACGAGCCGACCAGGAAGGACGATGGTTGGAGCAGGGACGTCGCATACTCTACGGTTGGACAGAAGGAGGCGCGTTCCCAACAGCAGCAGGGTGGTTTCACCACCTGTGCCTTCTGGGTATGTTGCCTAGGGTTGTGGGGAACGCCTGTCGTACCGACAGCATGTGTTGCCAGCTGCGACCGTGTACGAGGTGTAACCGTTTACTGTCCTTCGTCCCCCCTGAGCGGATGTGTCTCCTGGTCAGCGACATCCTCTCTGAGAAGGTAGTTCTTAGTGGGCCCGCACTTGAGGAGGGACGAATGGGTGTCCTGATCAAACACTACTCATAACAATTAGTACTTTTTCTGAAGGTTTTAAAATATTGAAAGCATGCATGTAGCAAAGTCGGGTCGTTAGAGTAACTATTGAACTATGTTTAAATTGACATATTATAATTGATTCATACATAGGCTAATTAATAATATGTCAAGATTATAATTAATCGTTGTGTACTATTATTTAAGTTAATAGTTAAAATTGTTATGATTACTATTTCTTTTAAATGACATATCTACAACATGGTTTAAAATATCGAGCCACGAGTTCAACATATAAACAAATGAAAATTTCGTTTTTCGCCAAAAATTGTCGACATCGGCAAAATTTCCACGATATTTTGTCGACAATAAACAATAAAATATTGGGAAATTTAGGTGAGTGGCTAAATTTGGCCACCCACTCAACAAAATGTCCATTAGTTTATAATTTTGCAAAAATGGCTAAAGGGTATATTTGGAATTTTACATTTTAAAACTTTTTCCCCATAATGCCCTTCCTATATTTTATTTGGAATTTACATATATTTAACAACCCTAACAAACTTGCTGTTCAATTCAAACTAAAGTTTGGTTTCCTACCTTCAAGGGATTTGTTCTTAAATATTTTAATTCTTTTATTAGTAATTTTATTTAATTTAAACGTTATCAGTGTTCCACTGTCCCGATCTCATCCTTCTACCATTCTACTGTCCYCATCTCATCTTCTTGTCATTCTATTGTATCTTCTTCTTTTAGCTCATTCTTTCCTTCCAACAATGGTGAATGTAGTAATCACAATTCTATACGGTGACATGTGGAATGAAAAATAATGGGTACAACAATTTCAACATCTCTCATATGTTAATTCAAAAGGACTGTACGTTGTCGCAACTTATCGAAGGCATTAGGAAGAATATTCATTTAACAGACGGGCAAAAAGTTTCATGTATATCGTTGGTCAAGAATAATAGTTACAAGTTTCTTATTATAAGACTAGCTGAGGATAGAGATGTCACATGGTTTTTAACTGTGTTGTCGAATGAGCTGGGGACATAGTACTGCATTGTTGTTGATACTGTGGATACCCATATTGACTCCATAGATRGAAGTGAGAAGCTATTTCGGACGAATGTAAATGTCAATGGTTCTATTTCTCAATCTTTCTGACTTGCTCCTACGGGTCGAAAAGACATCTACCCTAGCTATAAGAGTTCTACACAAGTGTAGTCTACACTAGATAGCAYAGTTGTAAATACTCCCATTGACCCCATGAATGGAGGTGAGACATCAGTACARAMATCCCACCATAAATGCAAGGAACTCATACTAATAAATCCGAGTCAAACTCATGCAACTCAATCATCAAAATATGTATGAGTTAATAGATGATTGAGTAAATATATGTATGCACTAATAATTCAACAATTAACAAAACRTGAAAGTTAATAGATGTATATATCAATTCAAGAAACAACYAGATAYGTAAGTGAATACATCTATTCACGRTTTTACAACTAAATTATCATAATTATATAAACTAGTACATATATATCCCAACAATTCAACAATTAACAAAAYATGAAGTAAACAGATGTATATATCAATTTATCAATCAAATTCAAAAGTCAATACATCTATTGACTATTGTACTACAAAAGCTAGTACATGTATATCCCAATAATTATCTCACTAACAATGCACTCTTTCTCAACTATCTTGAGATATTTTCCTTTTCCCTGTAGCCTACGAGTATAATTAGAATATAATTTTTAAATATTACTATTCAACACCAACATCCACTGACATCCACTGAGTTCTTACTTTCTTGGTGGATTCCTTACAACCCAAATTCCTTTTAAGGTCAATTTTAATTTGTTTTGTTTTACCTTCGACCAAGTCTCCTCCACCCCTCTTTTTGCTGGTATTATTCAATTTCTTACTTTTCTTTCCTTGGACAACATCACATCYTACAATATTCATTGGAGTCTTTCTTTGAGGACTTGATGATTCAATCTGTATATATAAAAATATAAAAAAACATATTAAACTTGAGGATTTTTAACAAAACAAACCACCCATATGTAAACGGATTTATCTATACCTCTTCTTCACTGTCTAAGCTAATTGTGCACGTTTCTCTTCGACCCCCTGTTATTCGAGCAGCCTTCAATCGTTCACTCGATCGTCGAGTTATTCATCCTCTAACTTTACCCACATCTATAGATTTTATTTAGATTTAAATTTACTTAAATATAGTAAGTTTGTTGGAGTTAAACACATATACTCCTTGGTTATTAACAACACGCTCATGTGGTAGGTCCCACATTTATATATTTTTAAAAATACACCTGAAATTTAGGAAGACAAAAAATTTCTTTTAAATTAAGTTGCAAAATCAGAACAAAGACCTTCCTCTAACAATCGGGATATTGACGGACAAATCTTGTTTAAACGGCAGGGAGGTATTGACGGTGCGGCGGCAGTATGGACGGCGCGGCGGCGGTTTTAGTCGGTACTGCCGTTTCGAGTGGCGGCTATCGAAGCTCTGGCGAATGGGGGACAAGAGCGCCTGAGCAGCGGTTCGGCGACTGATGGATGGGACGGTGGTTCGTGGGTCGGCATGGATGGGGCGGCAGCATGAGCAGCCAGTTGGGCGAGTTGGGCGGCTGTACTTGCGAGTTGGGCGAACCACCGATGACTGGACGGTGGCGTCTGGCGAAGCTCCGACAGATGGGAAACGAACTCGCCTGAGCAGCCGTTCGGCTACTGATGGATGGGGCGGCAGTTCGTGCGTCAACGTGGATGGTGCGGCGACATGAGAGCGAGGAAGGATGCTGCGGCGTGTTTTGCGTGGATGGGAGCAGCGACGGCGGCTGAAGTAGTGACGGATGGCGCCGGCGGCTGAAGCAGTGGCAGCGTCTTCTTCTGCAGGCTGGAGGAGGCGGCGGTTGAAGCTGTTAAAAGCAAAAAGGAAGGTTAAAAGCCTTTTTTTTTTATTAAACCCTAATTTCTTTAAAAAAAAACAATAAATGTATTACTTATATTTACTCTCTTATTTCTGAATCTTATATTAGATTGAGGTAAATTTTAAAATCTATACCAACACAGGTTTATCAATTTTATATTTACTCTCTTATTTTTAAATCTTATATTAGACATGGATAAATTTTAAAATCTACACCAACACAGTTTTATCAATTTCTTTTAAAATCTACTTTCAGATACTAATTAAGAATTTAAAATTAGATTTAAAATAAATATTTTAATTTCATTTACATTTTATTAGATACGGTTGATTCCCTAAAATTAAGGTTGATTTTTTTTTTTCAATTCGTAAAAATCTTAGATCCTTACAATTATGCATATATACCTTATTGGTTACAAGGGTATATTTGTCTAAACATAATCAGTATTTAAAAAAAACTATTTAGCCGTTGCAATATCTCATAGATTTGACCATTTTTTAAAACGTGTTATTAAATTTGGCCTTGCACTTGCCCCTAAAATATTTTTACTCACACACCATACCATATATATAGGCCATACAATAGTAAACAATAAAATAAATTTCCACGACATCAACTCTGAGGGTAACTTAAAGATCTTGCTTAATATTAATTATCAACAGAAATCCATATATGTAGAAATTAATAGCCATATACAATAGTAATAAGAAATTAATTACACTTTAACTAATAGCTAACTAATTAACTACGTATTTAAAGCTTAAATTCTTCTTTATATTTGAAGGGGAAAAAAGAATGAAAGAATCAGAGCCTTTGTTTTTTCTCCATTTTCTTAGTTCTTCGCTCGGAGGGAGAGGAATTCGCAGCGAAAATGAAGAAGGAAGAGACAGTAAAATTGATCAGCGCCGAGGGTTTCGAGTTCGTCATTCACAAGGATGCAGCCATGGTTTCTCAGACAATTCGAAACATGCTTACATCGCCAGGTCTCTCTCTCTCTCTCTCTCTCTCTCTCTCTCTGTTCATCAATCCACCTCTTGGGATTTATGATCTCTTTTTCGTTTTCTAGCTTATGTATCAAGAAGGACGAATTCGGTGAAATTTTGGGGCGATTGTTTTATTTTGGGATTTTCATGTTTAGGGCTTTGTTTTACTCTTTTGGTTAGGAAATTTTGCTGAATCGCAGCACAGAGAAGTGACTTTCCCTGAGATTAGCACCACCATACTCGAGAAGATTTGCCAATATTTTCACTGGAATCTACAATTCGCCAGGTTTTTATTTCTTTGAATGTACTTTTCTTTGATCTTGATTTGTGTTCTAATATCTGTATTTCTAGTCGTCATCATTATGTGCGATTAATCAGAGAAAATTTTCCAGAACTCTGTCAGAGTAAGATACCGATGCGTATGAAATTTTATTCCTTTGCTAGAGTTACTAACACCCTTGCTAATATTTAGGATCTTGGATTCTGCTAATTTTGTTTAAACTGATACTTTACTGGTGGTTACCAATTCAAAATGTGTATCAGTTACGCTCAATCCCATGGGAATGAAACTTTTTGATGCTTAGTTTCTCAATCACCAGTCACTACACTACCTCACTAATTCGTGTCTGATAAAGATATGACTTATGGATATTGTTTTAGTTCTTTGATATTATCATCTTTGTCCATGCCCTTGATGATCTGAATATTTTAGATTCTTTTAGGGAAAGAATAAGAGAAATGTTCCGAGAAACCAGATAAAATGTTTGGTCTGGATTGAAAACTGCAGCATTGTTCGATCCAGATCAACTTATATACCTTTTGTTGTTTGTGTAAAACTCTGTTTATAATTGCACCTTCGTCCTTGGATATGAGGAGAGTTCTTTTAGGCAAGCTATTAAGTTTGATGAAGTGGTGCAGATTTACAAGTTAATTGGATTTAGGAGTCAAATATTTTACTCCACAAAGGTACAGTACATGGGTGTAGAAGTAGAAAGATTAAACCGCTTATGATGACAGGCCTTCTAGATTAGAAGATACCATACTTGTTTAAAACATAATCCCTGAACAGAATTGAGTCAGAGTGAGCTCTTCTCAAATTGCAACTTACCAGAGTGTTTTACCATACGCGGTAAATTTTGTACAAAATTTTGGATGGACAACAGATGACATCTCACTTTTCAAGTTTTCATATAAATTACTCATCTTTACTTTTCTGGCGATCTGATGGGGAATTAACTGATTAAAGATTATGTTACCTACGCATTCTCTTTGTGTTCTGTTCTCACGGACATTGATTTTTACCCTTTTGTCAGTGGAAAAGAGACCGAGTTCCCTATTGAACCTGAATTGACCCTTGAGTTGATGATGGCTGCCAACTATCTCCATACATGAAATATGACCTCTGTGCACTCTTCCATTCGACATTGTAATATCGCGGTAATTTTATGTGATAGACGTAGATTTCCTTGACTAGACTATCAGTAAAGTTCATCATTTAAGATTTCTCTTGGGGGGGTGTACATACTTGTGGATGATATTGTTGCTTCATTTCACTCATTGGAACTTCAGGTCACTCATTGAGCATTATTATGGACAAATATCATGCGTATGGTTGTGCTTTTGACCATCTTAACTTCTCAAGATTTGATTACGTCAAGTTCCTAGATGACCATCTGAATAAGCTCGTGTGGATTAAAGAATCTAAATGTTGACCACTTAGAGCATGTCTGAGCCTGTTTGGTAACCTTTTTGTTTCTTTTCTTGTTTTGAGGAAACAAAAATAAGAAACGGGATCGTTATCAAACGGGGGTACTTAACTAACTTCTTTATGGTGAAGATAAGTATCCACTTAACCTTTGGTATCGAGGAGATCTTTTTTTTTTTCTTGAGTTCATAGGATTGGTTGATCTTTTGGTTGAAGATATATATCTTAATCAGTTGAGTTATGCTCAAGTTGGCTTGTTTTAAGAAGATATCAGTGGATAGATCTTCACCAATTACATGTTGGTGAAGTAAAAGTGTCGTGTGGATCTAAATTTTTGATGTAAACATAATTCGATCGAACTTTACTAGTTGAATCATTGCTAGAGGGTCCATTTGGGTTGAAATCTAGATCCTTCATGGAAGAGAGAATGCAACAAAAATCTAGAATGAGCAGTACTTAAAGAATAGAATCTCCTACTGTATTTATCTTCACATCTGCAAAAGGAAAATATTCTTGTGAATTTTGAGAATATATTGACAAATTGTTAATACACTTGAATGCAGTACTCCCTTTAGTTAAGCAGCTAAATTATGTTTCGTTGACTTTAATGACACTGTGTTTGAGATTTCTTTTTTTTTTTTTTCTTCTTTTTCTAAATGTCTTGTTTGATTAAATTTTTTTAGTTTAAATACTATTTTATTCCTTTTACTTTTCGGTTTGGTTTATTTTAAAGTGCTTAGGGACGATTAACCTTTTTTTTTTAATGAGTAATGTTTGGTTAAAATTTAAAGAATGGTAAAAAGTTCTAAGTAATTTTAGATGACCATTTTGGTTTTATTATTTCAATAAAATTGGTCCGTTACATATTTGAGAGAATGGGGAAAAATCAATTTTTGTCCCAAACTGAGGTGAAATTAAACCCTAGATTTAACAAGTGTTACTGTTTCTATCTTTCGTTTAACTCACTCACCAATCGTAAATAAATCTTCCAAACTCGAGACTTCAAAATTAAACCCAACTCTGGAATAAATCTCTAAAAGTTTAGGGCCTGTTTTTTCTTTTCAGATTTATTGAATATTCAGTTTGGTAGGATTTGAGAGATTCGTTTTTTAAAACTGTTTTCGAATTCTTGATCCAGTAGAAATTTTGAAAACGATTTTCTTATATTTTCAAATTCAGAATTTGAAATTTTTAAGATACAGACTTTATATATATATATATATATATATATATATATTTTACTTTAATTTTGATAAATATATTACTTCATATTATAAACTCATTTTTTGTTTATTAAAATTAAAACATGTAAAATGTAATATATTCTAAATTATATAACTTTGTAAAATAATAATTATACAAATTTCACAAAAAAAAATGTTAATAAATTAATTAATATATGTTTAGATTAAACTAAATATTTAGTTTGAATTACTTATAGATTACAAATATATTACTAAATACACATTAAACAATTTTTTAAATTGAGATTTAATTATCAAATTTGTTGCCACAATCCATTGTTTTCAAATTTGTGTTTTTTGATTATCAACCAAACGCACCCTTATAAATTTGAACAAAATTCAAATTTTTACAGTTGAATTCTATCAATTTCATATAAATTATATATTTTATAATTTCTTCAACGCACGTGAGAATATTTTTTTTAGTGATTTTTTAAACAAAAGTCTACAAGGTAAATATTGTTACACTTATTTATTTTAAAGTAATAATTACAACATTTTTGTTTACCTACAACAACATGTGGGAGTGAAGATTTGAAACTACGACCATTTGGTCGAGAATATATGCGTAACAAATTTAGCAGATTTGCTAATAATTTTAATAAAAAATAGGTGTCTTGACTAATTGAGCTATGTTCAGATTAGCGTTAATAATTGCAACACTTATTCAAAGGTTGAGATTCAATTTAATGAAATTGAAAGTTGTGGGATAAAAAGTGACTTGGTTTTGGCCAAATGATCTAATAAATCAAAGCTTAATGAGATTTTTTCTCAAAAAAATAAATAAATAAACTTAATGAGATTTAACTCAATTTTTGTATTAAAGTTTTTTTTTACTTTTTTATTGTTGGTAATCTAATGCCACTAGGAAATTACAATTTTGCCCTAAAAGCCAAGGTCAAGTTTTTGTAATCTATTTTTCTTGTTCCAGTCGTTTCTAGCTCTTTCTATCATTGCTTTTTTTTCACATCATTTTATCTTCCTCTTCATTTTTATTCTCTCGTTTTGATCTTTTTTTTCCTCTATTTTTTTGTTTTTTTTTATTTTATTTTTTCATTTTTATGTACTCTCTTTTCATTTTTTTATCTTTCTAAATCTTTTTTTTCCTACTATTTCTCTTTTCATTCTTATTTGAGTTTTTGCGACAATTATATTTTTCTAAAGAAAATCTACGGATGGCAAATCTTGAGGTGACATTAAATTTTTATTTGTTTATGTATAATAATTTGTTTTTCGTTCAGGAGTTTGTATGATCTTGTTATTTTTTTTAAATATTTATATTAAAATTATATTGAAGAAAAATCTAAAGATTTAAATAAGATGAGACGAATAACTAACTAGATAATAATATCGCCAAAGCTAGCATATGGTAATTAGCATATATCTCAAATTAGGAGGTTGTGAGTTCGATCCATCTGTACATGTTTTACTAAAAAAATCTAGATAATAATATCTAATTTTTAATAGTCTTCAAAATTTTATTTTATTTTTAAAAATTTAAGTTGAGAAAGGAGAAAAAAGAGCCCGAAGGAGAATAAAAAAGAGAGAAAGAGAGAGAGCTAGGAAAAAAAAAAAGAAGAAATAGAAAGGGTAAAAAAAGCAAGAAAGGGAGTGAATGAGAAAAAAAGGAGACAAGAAATAGAAAGTGAGAAAGAAAAAAGAAACGCAGAGTTGGAAATAAAAATTCAACGAGAAATAGAAAGAAGGATAAAAAAAGAAATGAAAAGGGCAAAAAGAGTACTTACCATCTTCAAAACTCATAATTGCTTCGATCGAAGGAGAATAAAAAAGAAGAGAATAGAGAACACAGAGACAAAACGGTAACTTTCCATTCACCCGACCTCACAATTAGGTTACGAAAACTAATTTAAAGAAAAAATAGATTGTATTTCATTTAGCTCCACGTATTAAATTCACCCGCTAAAAAAGAAACAAGTTTAGGATTAAATTTAAAAATAAAATATAACCCAGCCGTCAAGTTTAGGATTTATCCAGCAGCCCAGCCCAGCCCAAACTTTGGTTTTGGCAGCCCCTTCTTGTTCCATCTGCAGGAGCAGCACGACGGCAGCCTCTCCACTCCACCGTCGCCTCCCCACTCTCTCTTTTTACACGATTTTCCGACGCCGCCGCCGCCTCTCCCTCCCTCTCTTGGTATCATCCATTCAACCTAATCAGGTAACTTTTCAACGATTGATGACGTTCACGCCCCCCCTCCTCTGTCTCTTGGCAAGCCCAATCAATCTCAAATCGGTGAAAATCCAAGTGACCCATTTGGTCTAAAACCCACTTTGTTTGGAATATCGGTTCGGTTGTTCAACCGAACCCATGTTCACTCCTCCCAGCGACTCACTTGAAATTTGCATTTGAGCAGCAGTTTTCCAATGGCAATTCGGGGGTTTTCGAGGTCGAAACTACCAATTTTTGCTTCGGTATTCCTTCGAGGTCTAACGAGGAGACCCATAAGAGATATTCCATTACCAGTGAAATCGAAGATTACCGGGTTTCAGCCGGATTCGAGCCGACCCATATGCGGATTCCGGCCTTATCACGACGGAAGGCCGCGGGGACCCCTTTGGAGAAGCCGGAAGGCAATTGGGAAAGAAGCGCTTTTCGTTATTCAGGGATTGAAGAGATTCAAGGAAGACGAAGAGAAGCTCCAGAAGTTCATGAAGAGTCATGTTTCGAGGCTCCTGAAATTGGATATGATTTCTGTGCTTGGTGAGCTTGAGCGGCAGGAAGAGGTTGCTTTAGCCGTCAAGGTTTCTTCCCTCTTTCCTTTTATTCAATATGATCTGTCCTTTTGTGGCTTTCATTATCTTAAGACTTTACTTCATGGGATGCCATAGAAATAGATAACGGGTTTCTGTAAAATTCCCATTAAAATCCCTGTTTTGCTCTTGATTGTTGTCTCAACTTTTCAAAAACCTTGTAAGTTGATGCTTTGAATTTTTGCTTCATAACTGTTCTGTTGCTACTTTTTAGTTACCTGGGGAGAATAACTTCGCAAATGCTGGATTTAAGCTTCTATTTCGCTCTTGGATTTCTTAGAATATGATTCTCAGCTTCTAGCATTCTTAGATATGAATATGATGTTATTGGATATTGTGTATTGTGCAATTTCTGCAAGTTGCAGCGCTTCACTTCTTTAGGAAGGTTGTAAACAAAATAAATTCATGTATTGATATGGTGAGTTGTTTTCCCACTTCCTGTTAAGTTTTTAGCTTATTTCATGTCGAATGTCATCTCATGCTTTCAAACTTCTTTCTTCCTTGGGAAAACTGTCTTGTCGCTCTCTTGTTCAACTCTAACCTGCCCCTTTGAGTGCTTTATCAGGTCGACTTCAAACCGTCTGTATGACTTAAGATCTTAATATGAAATCTAGTTCAATCCGGTTGTGTGTAGAAATATTTCCTGTTAGATTCTGTTAGTTCAATTGATTTATCTTCATTGTTTCTGGTAGTGGTAATCTGACCCGGTGCAGTTTTTCATTGTCATTATTTGCTCTACCTTACATCTTTGTTGGATTTACAGATATTTAGGTTGATTCAAAAGCAAGACTGGTACAAGCCCGATGTCTTTATGTATAAAGACTTGATCATCGCGTTAGCCGGAAGTAAAAAGATGGATGATGCAATGGAATTATGGGAGAGCATGAGGAAGGAGGATTTATTCCCCGACTCTCAAACGTATACCGAAGTCATCAGAGGTTTCTTGAGGTATGGATCGCCTTCTGATGCAATGAACATATATGAGGATATGAAGAAGTCTCCAGATCCACCAGATGAGTTGCCATTCAGAATTTTGCTGAAGGGACTTCTGCCACACCCCCTTTTGAGAAATAAAGTAAAGCAAGATTTTGAGGAGCTCTTTCCTGACCAGAATGTCTACGATCCCCCAGAAGAGATTTTCGGCCTACGTTGAGGTTTGTGGTTAACGTTGATTTTTTTGCTTGTACCATCATCTGAAGGTTGGTAGGACTTAGTAGTTAGTAGGCCAGTGTATTCATCAACTTAAGTAGTTATGAGATCAAAATCTTTGAGAATGTTTTACAAGTCTTTAACTACCAAATATTGTGGATCCATTTAGGTTGTAGTCCTAGCTCATTTTTTCTAGGTGCCACTCAAAGACTCCATCGAGATATTTTGGAAAAAAAAGAGAGAAAAAAAAGGAACAACTATTGAGATAAAGATGGGTCCTCAATAACATAGACGAGGTAAGATGAATTATTGGTCAGATCTAGTATGGGTCGATATGTGGATAGTAGTTGGAGCAAAGAACTCTCTTATGGTTTTCCCATCTAGGATCCCTAGGGAGAACGATCAGTTGGTCCATGTGATTACATGTAAACAACTAGATGCACTATCTCCTTTTAACCCATTTAGCAAAATGTAGTAAAAAAGAAGGAAAATCCAAAGATCGACCCGTGGTCTTTGGGGTCACGAACCAACCATAAAACTCTTCTCAACAAGTAGAATGCAGTAGTTGTACGCTTTCTTGTTGGGTTTGTAGAGTATTTTGGGAGAGTACACAATTGTTTTTCTTTTATATGAAAAACGGGGTTTATCTCCACTGTAGCGGCTTGGCCAGGAGGGTAAGAAGTTCCATAAATAGGTCTTTTTGAGGTTTGAAATATTTTGACTTTTAATTCAGTTTTGCTATCAAACAAAAGGTCCATGATATTTCCCATCATACAAATTTCCATCTTATCACTTACATGTGCTTTTTATTTTGGCCTCTAAAACATTTGAAACATTTTTCAGCTGAATAAGTATTTTGTGATTGCTTCATCTTTTTCTCCTTTCCGTCAACCTTACCAGGTTCTTTTAGGAAGATCTTTAGCTTCTTTACATCAGGTGCTTGTTCTTGTCGAACAACGATGCAAGAAAGACAATAATTAGAGGGAAGCAAATTCATCACATTGTAAAAATAACCAATTGGAAACCGAAACATCGAGCTTTCTTTTGTACGGGTCTGTTCGAGTACTGCATTAACTCTGAATCCATCCCAATATATTATGCTGTGTGTTTGTTCCCTTTTTCTTTACATTCTCTTGAAGAAGTCGCATTGTTTCAGGGAATTAACACATTCCTCAGTTTGTCGACGAACATTCCCCTCTGCTGAAAGCAAAACCAAGCAAGGGAAGATTGATGATATGAAAATGCAAGGAGATGGAGAAGTTATTAATATGGTGTTCCTCGAAGCGGTCGACTCAGATTTGGATTCAAATGAAGGTGTTGTCTTTTAGGGAAGTGAGTGTACCTTTGCCCAGAAATGTCTATTTTACCAATGAATATGAACACCACAGAGAGGTACAAATTGCCATTGATGTCTCCCTTAAGGGGGATTCTTCTTCTCCTTTTCTTAATATAGTTTTGTAACTTAATATCTTTGTTTAGAATTTCTTTTCTTAGCTTTTAAAATCTTAACTTTAATTTTTTTTTTCAGTTGCCTTAGCCAGTGAGCTATATTTTGATTGGTTTAATTTAAATGGTTCAATCTTCATGAATTTTAATTGTATATGACATATGTAGATAATGAATGGAGTTGTATTATATTTTTTTTATAAAGTAGGTAAAATATTTTTAGGTAGGGACTAAATGTGTAATTATGGAAGTTGGAAGATTAAAAATGAGATTTTAAATGTTCATTTAAAAGTTAAAAAAATAAAAATTGAGAATTGAGGATCAACAAACTTTAAAGGGGAAAATAAGCTAAAAATTATATTTACCATTTCAAGGGGCAAATTGCAGAAACCTCAAATATAGTGGCAAATATCACCTCTTTCTTATTTTTGGTCTTTTATTTCTAATTTTTTGAAAATATAAGGGCTCATTGGGTAATGTTCTCATTTTTTATTTTTGTTTGGTAACGTTCTCATTTTTCATTTCTGTTTTTTTCATTTTAATAAAGGAAAATAAAATTGCATGCTTTTCAATAATCCAAGAACTATAAAACAAGACTACTTTTATTTATATTGAAACAAATTAGAAAGGGGAACAAATAATTTTTTTCTTTCAAAATTTTAAAACTGTTTCTAAAACTATTCTTATTTCTAGTTTCTCATTCTTAAGGAATATTTCTAGAAAATTTTGGAAACAAAATCAAGTTTCTTGTTTCCAAATTTTTTCAAACACATAGATAGAAGTTTTATTTTATCGTTCTTTACTTATAAAATATAAAATAAATATAACAAAAAATTTTGAATATTTAATTTTCATATAAAAATTTACTTAGTTTTTTTAATTTAAAATTTTAGAGAACAAGAAATGTTTACCAAATACATTTCTATTTCTTTTTCAATTAAAAAAAGCAGCTACCCATCGTACACAAGAAATAAAAACGTTACTAAACCGACATAAATATTTCTACAACTTATTATTTGGTACTATCCAAATCCAAACAAAGACTTTCGTGTTCTTTTAACTTCAAAATTTCAAATTTATTAAAATCATGAACTAAATATTTTGGAAGTGTAGATTGGGAATTCCTAGAGCAAAGGAGGCCTCTAATAAGCATCTAAAAAGGTTTCTCCAAATGAAAATTGGTTAATTTTGGATCACTTTTTGCTTCCAATTTGTGGGTGGGGATGAGGTTTGAGGAAGAAGATGCTTTGTTCCCCACATCATAATACTATCTCATATTCTCATTCTTCTCCATCCTCTCCCTTCAAATTAAAATTAAAATCATCTATACTTATCGCAATAAATATGATATACAAATTTTCATCAATTCATATTGAATATTATTTAGAATTATAAAATATCATTGTAGAAGAGTAAATGTTGATCAATTATAAATTGCTGCCAACCAAGAACAAAATTACATGTAACTAAAATAGTGACTAAAGTGTGACCGTATATCTTCGTTAAATTAAAAGACATCAAAATTATAAATTAAATAATATTTCATGTCCTCTATATCGATTTCTTGATCTAACGCAATGAGTTAAATTATTTCATGTGATGATTGACTCCAAAGCCAATAATCTAAAATTTTAGCACAAAGTCGAACAAAGCCAACATGAGACCCATAAAAAAAAATTTCATAATTTTGATCACTACAAAACTTGTAAAGACTCTAAAGATAAGAAATCAGAGAACCGACAAAATATTTAAAAAGATCTAGAAAGTAGAGAAACTTATCCTTGAAGATTTTGAAGATCCTTTTAAATATAAAATAAAGATCTTTGAAGCCTTAGTATCAAAATTTGAATAAAATCTTACAAGTTCTAAAGATTTTAAAGGTCGAGTTGCGCGACTTCAAGAAATTGATTGGCTTATTCCTAGAATAAAAGTAAAAAAACTCAATCTTTCTTGATTCGAGAACAAGCGTATTAACTACCGAATCAAAGTTTAAATCCCACGAAAAGAATCAAAGAAGAATTTTTTTGTCAAATGAAAATAGAAATATTACATCAAGTTATCTTTATCTCTATCTAGTTTTTAGAAAGTAAAATAGAATCTTGCACAAAGATTTGAGTGAATGAAAAGCAAATATAAAAATAATAAAGGATAAATTCAACTTTGAGCCTTCATAAAATGAATTGGGGTTGGTAGGATCATAGTTTTTTTTTTCTCTCTTTATTTCTTTCTTTTTCTTAAGTTAAAATACTACTGTGGTTCTTGTATTTTCATATTTGGTTTATTTTAATCCTTGTATTTTTAAAACTTTCGTTTTGGTCTATGTACTTTAAAAAAAAATTTATTTTAGTCCATGTACTTTCAAAATATTTATTATGGTCATTGTATTTAAAAAAAACCATTTTTGTCTCTTAATTTTGATTTAAATCTCATTTTTCTTCACAATTTCAACACAACGTTACACTCAATATATTTCTTAAAATGAACCATTACTTTATACTAAAGAGTTTTCGTTATATGTAGAATTTTTTATAAAATGTTGGAAATAGAGACTAAGATGATCATTTTTTAAAAGTACAAGTACCGAAATGAATATTTTGAAAGTATAGAGGTTAAAATGAACAAAAGTTTAAAGTATAGAGACTAAAATTAACATTTTAAAAGTATAGAAACTAAAATATACCAAGGCCAATAATATTTTAACCTTAAAAAATCAAAATCTTACACTAGTTGGATCCTAAGAGACAACTTTTGGCCCTAACTATTTCATTTTTCATCTTTCAATTTTTTTTTATTTTGAAAAAGGTTTTCTAGAATTGTAAGTACATAAATCAATATCATATCATATAAACCAAGTTTTATAAAACTTATCTTCTATCATATTCTTTTATAAGACTTATCTTCTATCATGTTCCTACTCATGGTGTACTAAAAAAAATCAATGTCATAATCAATTATCCATGATCCATGTTCTCTCTGGTCTCTTTTTAAAACTACAAAGACCAAAGCGAACATTTTGAAAATATATAGACTAAAATAAATTAAAATTAAGAGTATAGGGATCAAAATAAATAAAAGTAAAAAATCAAGGATCCATAATAGTATTAAACATTTTATTTTATTACAAAAGATGAAACGAGAATCAAGAAACAAAAATGTTAAACGGATTCCAACTCAGGGAAGGTTTCAGTTTTAAGTGTTTGAGAAATAATTAATATCAGTTTTAATCAAATCAACACCCATGAGTGTGAGTGTGCCGGAGTGGTTATCGGCCCGCGCAGGTTCGAATCCTGCCGCTCACGTTTATTATGTATGTTAGGTTACGGTGGTCAATGGAATGAGGCGCAATCTGTTTGTGATGGTGGAATTATGGGACGAAGCGTTCCATTCATTCATTTTCTTACCAGTTAGGGCAAGATGTCCCAATTCCTATTCCTATTTATTCCACGCTACCTGGTGTTGGTCCCTCATATTTTGTCCCGTCAATAACATCGTTGACTGATAATGTGGTCCTATACAACTTAGGTGATGATGAACTAAACTACCACGATCAATGGGGTGAGGATGATGATAATGATGGATATAATGATGTGGCTGAAGATAAAGATGGGGATAATTATGAAGGTGACGAATTTGAGGGTGATGGCAGAGTTTGAGAACGACGTTGGGATTGACAATGAAGAGGAGGTAGAGCCAGCGGATGTATATGTCCCATATTCTGCCACCTTACATGAAGTGAACACAGTAAGTATGAATGCACCTTGTGCCACTAATCAAGCTTCTTGCTCTAGAGATATATCCAGGATAGTTGATGAACTTGGTTTGACCTTAAAAGAGATTGCAGTAGGGAGTACTTTTAAATCAAAGGCAGAATTGTAGTTCAATCTATCGGTCTTTGCAATGAAATTGAATTTTGAATACTGAGTGAAGAAATCTACGAAAAGTTTGTTAACTGTTGGATGCTGCGATGATGGATGTAAATGGAGTATGCGTGCGAGGAGGATTCATGGTTCTGATACCTTCCTCATCTCCCAGTTTTTTGGTGTGCGTAATTGCAAATGTGAGATAATGAAACATGATCACAGACAAGTCCAAAGTCGTGTGGTTGGTCAGATCATAAAAACCAACTTTGATGATCCAAGTCGTCGTTATTATCCAAAAGATATTGTTAACGACATGCGCAAAAATTACGACGTGAACATCCAGTATGAAAAGATGTGGCGTCTAAGAGAAGTAGCCTTGGACCTTCTGATGGGTTCGTCGAGGAAGTCTTATACTATGCTACGTAAATATGGCGAGGCGTTGAAATCTGTGAACCCAAGTACGACGTTTAATTTGAAGCTTGAGGATGATAAATATTTTCAATATGCGTTTATGGCCCTTGGATGCTCTATAAGGGGGTTTAAAAGTTGCATTCGATCGGTTATTGTCATTGACGGTGCTCATCTGAAAGGAAAATATAAAGGTGTGATACTTATTGTCTATTCCATTGAGGTAATAATCAGATCTATCTAGTAGCGTTTGGAATTATGGATAGGGAAACATACAACTCTTGAACTTGGTTTTGGATCAAGTGAAGAGTGCGATTGGAGAGGTATATGGATTGGTTTTCGTGTCTGACCGGCACCAAACCATTAATAACTCTATAGCTAATGTATTCCCTACTACTGAACACTTCAATTGCATGCATCACATCCAGATGACCATTAATGATAAGTTCAAGAACGAGGGCATGCAGAGGCTGTATCTTAAAACAGCGAAGGTACCTAGAAGTGCAAAGGTACCTACAGGAAGTTGGGTTCGACAAATGGTCACGAGCCTATCAACCTAGATTGAGGTATAACCAAATGACAACTAAGCAGAGTCCATGAATGCAGTACTTGTGCATGCACAAGCTTTGCCAGTCACTGCGCTGTTAGAACATTGTCGTGCACTTCTACAACGATGGTTTTATGAACGGCGGATGCATGCAGCCACAAGAACATCATG